TGGGAAGGCAGTAAACCAAGAATCTGGGAATTTTTCTCCGTTTTTTAATAGAGGATTATCACAAACGTGACCTTAAATAGAAAAGGATTTTGTTTAAATGCACTACAACATTCGAATTGGTTTGATTTGATAGAGAGCAATGATGCAATCCCATATTGTTCTCCATTCACCAAATATAGAAAAAATTAAAAATTGTTTTCTGAAGAAAGGGAAAGAGAAAGAGCACAAGAAGTATTGGAGGATTACGACTGATTTTGAATGCTTTCATTAAATAAGGTTAAATTCCAGTTGGAAACAAGCCAGCTATGACAAGGAACCGTAAGTATCGTGTCTAATAACAACAATACCGTAGCGATTTACATTCCATTAAAGAGTGAACGTCAATCATCGTGCAGAGCAATGACAATTGGACAATTTTTAAAGCACGAAATGAACTAGCAAGAGTAAAAATAATTTAATCCTCTGTATTCGCAGCAATCCTGTTTTAATTATTTACTATTTAAGAGTAGCAATTGTTTATATTTTGTGATTCTATAGTTCTTTGGATACTTTTATAATAAGAATTGTTAAATTCTTCAAGTCAGCGTAAAATGCAGTGACACCACTATGACAAATGTAAGTCTTGATGATAGAGGTAAGTCATGATGCTTGACAAAAGACAGATGTAAGTTTAGAACACAAAAGTAACACATTCATTCCTTAAATTCTTCGCTCAAAACTTTTTCTAACGTCATAAAAATGTGTCCTGCAATACGTTAACACATTCAAAAAATTGAACGAGAATGCTTACATGTAACGTACGAATATTGAGAGCAATCATTATTTTGAGTGATAGCACATTGGGATAAATCATTCACTCGAGCATCACATTTGACATTTCCAGGTATAAACGATTGATGCATCAAAGATGATAGTGACATTGAGCCTTCCACAGATGCTGCGATAGGATAACCAAGTTGTTTACAGATAATCGTCTTTATTTTGTGCAAAAGACCTTTGTTGCAAATGGTGAAGTTTCTAAGCTTGGTAATAACATTCACGACACCTTCGTTTGGAAGATTCGACTTAGACAGGAGTACATCCATAACTACACAAATGAAAATTAGTTTTTCGTTTAATTATGATCTTAACGCATATCTTAAAGTAAAATCTGTGTTTTCAGAAATGGTTCTATTAACATAAATATGACAAATCCCGTTCGGGAATAAAATATATACACGGAGTTTGAATATCAGAAGAACACAGAAGGTGACAATAACTTAAAAAAAATTATGGTTTGAAAGCACTTAACCAGAAATATTTTCCACATTCTGATGGACACAGTATCTTATAGATTTACACTTAAAGTTGGAAAGCACTGTTTTGATTTTAATTTTTAAGTTGACAATGAACTAAAGGCAAATAAGTTGAACTGAGAACTTTACTTTTGTGTTGTAAACACGAATCGCAACAAAATGTGTCTAAGTGATCATGTGAATCATTAATGAAACCAGAACAAATACCGTTTTTTTACAGGTGAGCACTGCGTTTAGCTTCCCAATTCATATGAATTGCATATGTATGCAGTATATATGAAAATTCTGTAGTGTGAATTCATGAAAGTATGAATACAAATGCAATTGTAAATGTCACATTTGGCTTGCATAGAATCGCCAAAAGACTTAAAAAAAATAGATTTGATAAATCAAATTGACTGCAATAAATGATGTTTCTATGAACAATATTTGCATTAACAAACTAAAAAGACAAACTTGCTCAAACCTTTAAACTTAACAAATAATTGGGAACACAAATTTAAATGTCACAATATATAAAAACACTAGCGTACATTGATAGCGTACACAATTGATAGCGTACATAGTATAAAAATAACACCATAACATTGTGCATTAAGGTCAAAACTTGTCCCGAAGCACTTATATCATAAGCAAAATATAATGTGCCTGTATAATACTTACGATTGCAAATTTTTCTGTATGGCATACTTGTGTAGTTACATTGATATTCAAAGTAAAGATATTTCTCCAAACCAGGACAAATTCTTGAAGGAAAGTGATTGTCATCAACAGTTATAGTACATTTTCTTTCACCATCACAGTAATTTTTAAGGTCACATGTCACATCGACACTACAATTGTGGTCATAACTGGAGCCACAAATGCTTCCTTTTTGCAATCCACGATATTCTGCAAATTTTATCCCCATATATTGATCATTAGGACATCTGACGTTTGTTATATTTTGTCCAGCACATGTCACTGATCCTATAGAAGACACACAAAAAATAAGTAAATTCCAATCTATACAAGCTTATTTGTGAATTCCTGTAAAGTAGAAGTTGATTTGATAAAAATGAAGTTTGTGATAGCAGTGACTTAACTGGCGCCATTCCTATATCTGCTGCGTTGCAGTGGCTTTTAATTAGAGTTTAATTATATATACGCTAACTGGATGAATATTCTCACTTGCCGAAATTGAATCGCTGATTTTCTTCATTTTTACAATTGGCCAGTCTCACGTCGGAATGAACTTCTCGAACTACTATACATTTATTATAGCGTGAAAAGAATAGACCACCCCAAAAATTTTGGGTTATGGCATTGATGGCTCCGCATCCTCCATTAAAATTTCCATTAGGTAACATCAAACGAATTCCGTTGCCTCGTCTCCCAGGACATTTTTTTGTATTCAGGTTCATGATTGAGCCAGATTGTAAAAATTTAAAATTAGACCCCACGTCCAAACAATTCCATGAAAGCTCGAATGAACGTCCTAAGTATTCATTAACACACTTTCCTGACTGAACATGTTTGATGAAAAATCCATTTATATCTGAAAAAGGACAATCATACATGATAAAAATGATTGAAAATACCACACTCTACAAAATATTCAAATAAAAATAATAGGAATTTATCAAAAAGAATTTAGTATACTGAATTCTATCAATATAGGAAACAACACTCCAAAAAAAAGCCATCTTGAAACTCAACTTTCCTAAAGAATTAAATAAGCCAATTGCTGTTTAGGGTCATTTTAAGAATAATGGCGTATGAAACAATTTAAGGCATTAAGCATGCAGCATTGTACTAAAATACACGGAACGCTACCTGTAATACAAAACCTATTAAATTTTAAGCCTTGATTTTACCCCAGACACGAGTGTGTAGTCAATCAATTATTACTCCGCGAGAGAATCTCGAAACACTAAACACGCGTGTCTGGGGTAAAATCTCGCGTGTGTAGCGTAAGATATGGCTTCAATTATTTGTTTGATGATGTAGCGTTCCATATATTTTAGTTCAATGTCATGGAGACAGAAAAATTTACAAACAAGTTAAAAAATGTAAAAAATCAATTAACAAAAATTTCACGGCGCACGGTCTGTTACGATGGAAAAGGGAGAGTTATGGTTTGTTTACGCAATTTTAGTGATTTATCGGGCCAACTATGGAATCTGTTTCTTTTGAAATATTTTAAGATTGTTGGCTGAACCTGATTTTTCAACTGTATAAACTCCCATGACTTTCGTTTTTGATGAAAAGGAAGTTTATCTAAACACTTATACAAATTTGTGCCCAGAAAAAGTTGATGACTTAGATTAGTATAATACAAACTTGAAGACAAAGATTATATAATTCAATGTAAAACTGAATTGTGAACTCTGTAAGTTGTACACTCTTTTCTGGTGGAGTTCATTTAAGTTGTGCTGTGAATTAGTGCTCTTGATAATAAGAATACCAGAACTGCACAATTTAAAATTCCAAACACTTTAAATAAATATCATGCCCAGGGCTTACACAAAATCGTGAGGCTTTTTTACGGGTTTGTACAGGTTTATACATGCAGAGGAGAGATGCATACAAATATGTACAGGGATATTATACAGAGGGTTAATGTAAAAGGAAGTTTATTTCAATTGAAGTGATATGTAAACATTCTGTGAAAATATTTAACAAATTTTGGATTAAGTTGAGCATGATATTAAACAATATTCAGACCAAGGACAATTGGATATCTACCAAACCAAAGCTGAGTGGGATAGCGCTGACTGCAGTCTGATTAAAAAATTTTTGCGGTTCGCTTTCGTCTATTTCCTGTAAATACGCGATGAAAAATCTCTTGACAGACAGTTTAACACTTCGGGGTTTTTTTTGTCTTTATTCTCGACAATTTGAGCAGAGTAAAACACTTGAAAGTCTCGATGAAGATTCTACCAAAATATTTCATGTATATACAGTTGTCTCATAAAGAAAATTCGTCACCTACAGGTAATTTTCAATGTTTTTCAAGGTGATAGTGTATTGACAATTATTTGAAGGCTTTTAGACAATCACAATAGAGATTGTATCACCGTTGTATTATAATAATAAAGCTCAACTAGCACAGATCAATATATGAATATCTTAACCCTAACCCTCACACCCCTCAACAAACAATCAAAATCTTCCAACGTAATCGTTACTGAATAAAATCAATAAACGCAAAAATAACCAAGATACGCTTTTGAATTGAGCTTTTACTCTTTTACAGGTTTACATTATAATAAATGCATTACGAATTAAACATGTTCGGCTGTTCCGGGAGTGTATTCTAATACTTTTGCAATTGCAAAGAAATTTCACATAAGAGTTTATGTATATGATGAATTAAATATAGGTCAAAGTGTCGTATGGATTTGACCAAAGTTGAATATGAAGCACTATAATCCCAATAATGCACAATAAATCAAACTGACACAGGAGAAACTAAAATCAACTGGCCTTGTATGTACCTTGTCTTTTTTCGTTCACGTTGATGACAACATAACAGGTGTGATTTTTTCCACCGTATAGAATATACTTATAAGGGACTTTGATTTGTCCGATATGAAGGTAACTAGGTTCACCAGTCTCTTTTTTTATTATTTCATTTATGTACTTATGTGAACATGTGAAGTTTTCAGGTTCTTTCAATTTTTCGAATGGAAAATTACGATAAAAACGATAATCGACGTATGTATAGTTCAAAATAACCGGGCTGCATCCACATGTCCCTAAAAACAATTAAGTTATCTTTAACTGGTTCTCCAGACAAAAAGAACAAGTAGAAAGTGACACTCATTTGGCCACAAAATGTTACAAACTATTCACATTGAATCGAAAGTCTTCCTTAAACCCAAATAGACAATAACTATACAGACTTTATCATATAACTGCATATATTACTATTTTTGACTCTACTGTCATACTACTTGGCTTTTGTAACTAGACAGAGGAACAATGAACGAGAGATTATGCTGCGTCAATGCTGTGAAGCTAGTGTATCCAAATCAGTTGAGTACTTTAGCAGGTTCCTTACGGGTTCAAACTGTTTCTTTAGGTACCCTACTTTAATGCCATTTCTAAGAATACGGTTTTAAATTACCGTTATTTAAATTAAACAGTACCTCAGTACTATAAGTGTTGTGATCGTTTGCCAAGTACATGGCCAGTTGATGTTCTGTACTTACTCTAAACTAAACTGTTGTTTACTTTACCTTCTAGTGGACATATTTCACTAAACATTTTAAATCGCTCCAGAAGATATTTCTTCTCCTCAACACAACAACGTGTACGAGCATTGTCGCATTTCGAATCGATTTCAATTTTGTCCGCCACAAATTTCTTCCATTCTTGTTCACAAAACTCAAGCTCTTCATTCCAACCCATTTTCATTGTGAATCTTTGACCAAATAACAGCCACAATAACCACCATATCATTAAACTCATCATTGAATAGATCCAAGGATATATAGTATGGCTCTAAATTATAATTGATTGTTGGATGTATGTACGTTATCACAGAAGACTTTAAATATATATTTAGATTGACAATGACTACGTCACAATTACATCTGTGATGCTAGCAGATCACGATCAAAACGTATTTTTGAGCAATATATGAGCATTAACTAAAAAATTCATTCCAGCAACATTGTGTAGCGAGAAAAACTGTTCAGATATAGATCGAGTTAGTCTCATATGGCCGCATGATGGCTCTCTTAATGGTAGCCACTGTAGCTATTATATATGTACGTGGTTATAATTTTTTTAAAACAACGAAAATTGGTTATCTTTTAATTTATGCTTTATTCTTCTTACTCGGTTCAATATAAATTTCAACTTTTTGTGTTTCAAGAGATTTATTGAACGATGAAAAAATGCATTTTAGTGGATAGCGCTAAGGAAGCGAAGAAAGCGAGATCAAATTAAAATCAAAGCAAATCATTTATTTTAAATACAATGGATTAAAAACCCAAACGATGTTAAAATTCTTTATCTGATTATGAAAATAACAGTTGTGCATGCAGAGCTTCCCATTAGCTATTTCATTGCAATTTCCTGTTATGTCATGATACATGCAAAAAACCTATGAAATCATAAAGTACTTTACAATTTCTTGTAACCTAGCCTCTATAGCTGTATAGCTATACCTGTATTGTCTCTATAGATATACCCGTATTGAATTTTTATTCTAATTTTTAATTCATCAAATTCAACACATTAGCAGGTATAAAACAGCTAAATTGCTCAGTTGACAAATTCAAAAAGTTGCAGTTGAAAAATTAACTAAATAAATTAAAAATTTCAAAAGATAATGACCAAAAAATAATGTTGAAAGGGTGTTAGATATTTACATTGCATGCACCGCGTAGCTTTTTTTCTATTGGGGAGGAAGAGCTTGCAAAATAAACCAACGTCGATATTAAGGGCAGCTAAGTAGTTTTGGGTTTCAGCGTTATCTCGAGATTACTCAAATTCTTTTATAAAAACTTACAGAAATATCACAGAAAATCTTGGAAATATTTTGCAACTTTTTACATTTTTCCAAGCTTGTCGTTACTCTTTTGTTTGCAGTTATTCGTGGAGTACTAACTGACAATGAATACTCCATAAGAATTGAAAATCTCAAGCAGATTTCTTTTTAATTTTTCGCAGGTTACGCTGAAGAACGAAGACATTTACAGAACAGTGGAATAGGGTTTGTTTTTGATATAGTTGAGAGATTTGAGCGAATAATGCGATATTATATAAAAATACGAATCAAAATATTAATGTGAAACCTGTCCCCAATCCTACGTCAAGCATGGAGGTATTGTGGTAAATGAAAAAATCGCTCTATTTACTATAAGAATCTAAACATTAAGGGGCGGAAGTTGTGCGGTGTTTGTACTAACACTTATTTGCCAAACTAAGTCAAAGAAAAATTTTGCAGTAATAAATGTTAACAGAGCATCGAAGATAAAGAAACTTCCATTTTACTATGAACTACATGACATCTTACCTTTGTTCTTTTACTAATTGAAAAACGGACACAATAAATCGACTGAAGAAATACACCTTAAACAAACAAAGGTGTATTATACAGATTATTTAAACTGAAACGAAGTTTTCTTTACTTTTTTGTCCTCGCTGTTTTGTAAAAGTTGGCATTAACTTCTGTTTTCCTTTTGTTTTCAAAACTTTTGCTGTTTGCTTTTCGAAATTTTTTTACGTTTATTTGTAAAATTACATGTAATCGACCGCCGATATGAATTGTTATTAATCAGAGACTGTATATGGTCATTGCCCACATTATGTCATTAACAGCATATGTAATAACATGGTTGCCTCGTGATCTTTTGTTATCACATAGACGTTTGCTGAAGTTTTCCCTAATGCTCTTGAACTCATAATGCTCTTGACCTCAAGACAGCCACTTTGTGGGATATTATCAAAATATAATACAACGAGCAAGAATCATTGTATTTAAATTGTTATAGATCCGAGAGACTATATATGGTCATTGTCAACATTAAGTCATTAACAGCATTTAACTATGTAATAACATGATGGCCTCTTGCTATCACAGGGACGTTTACTGACCAATTTCCTCATCATAATATTCATTAGGGACGTTTAGACTAAATATTCCTCAGCAACAATAAAACAATACGCCTATTCCTGGATTGCAAATAATTTCCACGGAATTATAAAAAAAATTGACCCGCCCTTATCGGCCTGTGCAAACAATGGCTTTGATAAAACAATTTTTTGTATTCGACTACCAACATGGCGGCTGTGATGTAAACATGCAGCCCATGCACCTTTTATTGTTTTCAAATTTTGATTTCGTCATGTAAAATTTGCTTAAGCTTCATCTTCATTTTATCCACGGCTTAATCATTGTCAATTCTGCTCTATGAAAACGTTTAATAGTTGATGTCTTTAGCCTTTGAAACCACAATACTTAGAGGGCAAGCCGGCATCATGTAAACTGCTAAACTCGGTCAAAGAAAAAATTTGCTGTATATTAAGTGCTAACAAAGCAACGAGGATAAACAAACATTCGTTTTACCATCAACTGTAGCCAACAAAATTTATTAAATCTTACCTTTTGCTCTTTTATTTTCTTCACGTCTTTGTTTGAAAAACGTACACAATTAGGCAACTGCAGAAATACGCCTTAAAAAAAAACAGAGAAAAATTAAGATACATAAATTGGTTGACGAAGCAATGTTATAGAACATAAAGTTTTCGATAGTTTAAAGAATTACCTCTGTTTATACGAAGCACCGAAGTAAAATTAATGCATCTAAAGTGTGTGAACACGGCAAAACAGGTTAATGGCTTCAAGTGCTAAATGACAAAAAATGATATTGTTCCCATAGCGTATTTTAAGTTCTTAATTAACAACTTTGGCAACACTTCATTTAATTTTAGCTAACAGTCATTGGTAAAAAATTGTAACCCCAAATACACCAATTTGTGTCGAACCGAACTATACAGTAAAATTTACAACATGAAACCAGCTTTTTTTTATTGTTTAGTAGTGTCTGTTCAAACCAGTGAGATAATAAGACAGCTGCATAAATACATTGAAAAAAGGGTAAAAAAATAGTGCATGCAAGAATACTGACATATGAATGAAGAATGTTTAAGTGATTGGGTTTAGCGGTAAAGAATTAAGAACAATAATTTAACATTTCGATATTCATTATATATTAGTATATGACAAACTTCTAATTGATGCATTGGACAGCCACTTTGTGTGATATTATCAAAGTATACTACAACAAGCAAGGATCATTTCCATTTACGCAATTTTCACAATTTTCTTTGTAACTTAGCTATGTTAATTAGCTGTAAAGTTTTGTTCTTAAGTCTACGTTTTGATGTGAACAGGTGGAAGGAAAAGCATGTAGAAACACATAAATTTTGAAAAACCGTATTAAAGTTAGTTATATAATAAGTCCCTTACTAAGCAATCGCGAAATCTTTAAAGAGAAATATCGGATTAGATATTTGTTTATGTACAGACCGCGCAGGCTGGAGAGCGGGTAAGCAAAGTTAAGAAAAGGCTTATTATAAACCATTATTTAAACTGAGACAGCTTTCTTTACTTTTTTGTCGTCGCTGTTTTGGAAAAGTGGCATTCACTTCTGTTTTCCTTTTGTTTTCAAACCTCTTGTTATTTGCTTTCAGAAATTTGTTTCCATTTATTTGTAAAATTACTGTAATGAAACGCCGGTTTGAATTGTTATAGATCTGAGAGACTGTATATGGTCATTGTCAATATTAAGTCATTAACAGCATTTAACTAATGCAATAATATGGTGGCCTCTTGTTATCACAGGGACGTTTACTGACCAATTTCCTCATCATAATATTCGTTAGGGACGTTTAGACTAAATATTCACCATCAGTACAGTCAATAGGGACGTTTAGACTAAATACCCTCATCAATAATGAAACAATACGCCTATTCCTGGATTGCAAACAATTTCCACGGAATTATGAAAAAAATTGACCTGCGTTATCGGCCTGTGCAAACAATGGCTTTGATAAAATTTTTTTTTGTATTTGACTACCAAAATGGCGGCCGTGATGTAAACATGCAGCCCATGCACCTTTTATTGTTTTCAAATTTTGATTTCGTCATGTAAAATTTGCTTAAGCTTCATCTTCATTTTATCCACGGCTTAATCATTGTCAATTCTGCTCTATGAAAACGTTGATGTCTTTAGCCTTTGAAACCACAATACTTAGAGGGCAAGCCGGGCAAATTGCTAAACTCGGTCAAAGAAAAAATTTGCTGTATATTAAATGATAACAAAGCAACGAGGATAAACAAACATTCGTTTTACCATCAATTGTAGCCAACGAAATTTATTACATCTTACCTTTTGTTCTTTTATTGTCTTCACGTCTTTGTTTGAAAACCGCACACAATAAGGCAACTGCAGAAATACACCTTAAACAAACAGAGAAAATGAAGATTCGTACAAGTATGGTAAACAATAGAGTTGTGGTTTTCGCAAAGTTTTACTTGTAAGTGCTGGACAAAGCTGTTTCCTCAAGTGTGGAGTAGCGTGTATTGAGAATATATAAACATGCACTTATGCCGACTGCCACAATTATTTAACATTTTATAGAATTTTGTTTTACCTCAAATCCTACCCTTTACGAATCAACAATAATACTTTAAATGTGTTAGAAATTTTGGAAACAGAGAAAATTGAGATACATACATTGGTTGACGAAGCAATGTTATAGAAGATAAGTTTATTATATTTTACTCTGTTTAAACAAAGCGCCGAGGCAAAATTAATGCATCTAAAGTTTGTGAACACGGCAAAACAGGTTAATGACTTCAAGTGCTAAATGACAAAAAATGATATTGTTCCCTGGGGCGGATCTAGAGTATGTCAAATCGTCGCGCGACTGATGTATGAATTCAAAAATTACCTATTCATATTAATTAAAAAGTCATTAATTATTCTTACTTTATTATCGCATTTACTTCGTGATAAAAATCCAGCTTTGTTTATTATTGAAAACCAATGACTAATCTAATGAATATCTTGTTGGTAACCAGATCAATTGAATTTCAATTGACCTGGAATAACCGACTGATAAGCGGGGTTGCTTGACTGGTTCGACGGATAAAGGAGACTATGAACGCCAAAAACGCTTATTTCACTGGTCAATGGCCAGATCAGTGGACAGTCTGGAATGGTCTCGACTGATAAGAGGGGTGGCCGGACGTATAAGATCATATCTTCATTTAATTTCAGTCATTGATGTTCAAAAGAAAGCCAACATTGTCTTGAGCTTTATCAGCAGAAATTCACATCCAAAATCGTAAGTAAAGGACAACTAAAGTGTATGCATGAATGTAATAAATCAAAGTCAATTTATGCGAGTGTGTGATGCGATTTATGTCAATATGGCGTATGGTAAGCAGATTGATGCTTCTAAAATTGTTGTTGCCGACGGACTTTTAGCTATGATTTCTTTAGTGCTTGGGGAATCGTGACCGTTATATGGCAGCGAAATCCTACATTCCTGCAAATATGTTTCAATGGACAAAAAATCTGTAGCCATAAGGCGCCATACTATTATTTACTTTATCAGTTTACTGCAAAGATGTCAACTACAACTGGTAAAATTAGCTGCCCCCATGATTTTGAGGATAGTTCTATGCAATAGTTCTGTTCAAAAAATATTTATTCTTACCTCTGAAACAAGCTGAAGAGCTGGATACTCAGTCAGTAGCTCATTCAACACTTTTGGTTCATTTATAAATTGTTGGCGCCGGTAGGGGTAGGTCAACTCCATGAGCTCTTTAATTAGTCTATATCTTTTGTTTGTTTTCGTCATCTCGGTTACCATGGCTTTTTTTATGTTCTTCGCACGTTTCTGCAGTCTCACCATTATCCATATCATAAACATCATACAGCTTACGTCTTTTCATATTTGCTTCTGGCTGCTTTTGTGTAGTTTGAGACACACAGACAGATCTTGTTGTTGAATTTGTCTTCTTTCTACGCATGTTTTTGAATCGATTAGTGATTGCTTTCAACCATGACCCCTATAACGAAGAAAGTTCATGCTGTACATTATAAGAGATAGCGAGAAAAGCTATAGGATTTCTTCTAAAGATTATCTTATGCATTAAATAATATGAATATGACTTACTGTACCAGCTCCAAGTGAATCGACAAGAAAAGTATATTTTTCTACAATCATGGACGCCACTCTTTGTTTTTCTTCTCTGGATGGAAACATTGTATGAGCTTTAATAGAAGAACAAATGTCCCTAGTAAACTCATCCCTAAGGTTTCCATTAAGTTTTCCTGCTTGCAGTGCTTCATGCACTGTTGGAGAAAACTGTAAAATACAAAAGATAAATTTTAACATCAGAATGTGACCTATTACGAGGTATACTATTTAACATACAGAAATAGGAAGCTTAAAATCTTTTATCCAGTTCTTGTTCAGTTTCCTTTCTTCCACAAGTACAAAGCTTGGTGAAGGTTGATCACTCTTTTGAGATGCTATGGTATGTCGAGGTGTACTGGATGTTGTAGGTGACGGTGTGCCTGTTGACAAATGAGCTTCTTCAATTGACGCTGAAGAATTGCTGACATTGTCATTTATGGCAAAGGAATGACTAGTGGATAAAGCGATCTTCTGGGTGGATGGTTCAATGGTAGATGGAACATTTCTTAATGGTAGAAAAATTGTCCAAGTTAATCGTTGCCAATGCATTTTTGATTCGTATAACTTGCCCTCCTTTTATGCCACATGCCTTCAACAGCTCATCAGAAGTATTGTTTAAAACACCAGCTGAATCAAACTATTCGAGTACAAAAAATCAAAATTAAATTAAAAAGATATATATATGTTAATGACTGAGCGAGAGGCTCGTACAGGAGGTCCATTCAAGCGAAAAAAGAACAGCCATTTGATGTTTGGATTGGGCTTTAACCAATCAGAACGCGCGTGAAATAAATGTAAAAATGTTTTCCAGAGGTCCCAAACGGCCAGAGGCCAAAGGCCGTTTTTTATTTCGAGAAGAACTATTTTTCTATTCGGACCGAAATATAAACGGTAAATAACGTATTTATTTTTTGTCAAGCGGTTATGGCAGTTGTGCCATAATGTAATCTTGAATTTCATGCGTAAAACTTTCGTCCCTTTCATCCATGTTTACGTTTTCTGCTATATTTTCGCTAACATTTTCCACGATATTTCCAAGCTCGTCGGCATAGTAAAACTCGCTTTCCGAGTTTCAAACTATCATTCAAATCCATTGTTAAAAACGTTTTCAAAATATCTTTTTTAAATTACTAAAACAGCTTAATTTATTGGCTGCATTTGCCAGGATTCCGCGGACCGGAGTAAAAAAAATGAAGTAATTTATTCGAACATCTACTTAGCATGCTGCAATAATAATGATTTGGTATTTTTACTTCATAGTCTAATGTAGTTTGGAACCACAGCAGTTGAACTTTCACTCATAATGCTTGACGTCTTAGATTACTTAGTCATTTTTTATCTTTACACTTTATTTCCCTCAATAATTTTGCCCACTAAATTCAAGTATTGTTTTTTCGGTATGGAGTCCATATTTACCAAGCAGTGTTAACAAAAGCAACAAAAAGTCGTCTAGTCACAACGTCAACACGCAAAAATTCATGCACTCGTGCTAAATTTAATTTTATACACATACCTCTTCATCTTCAAGAATAAAAATTACATTTTCCTTTACCCCTGCCTTCTTAAGATTATCAAGCAACGTGGAATCCATCCGACCTTAAACGTATAAAAATTTGTAAAACACAAATGCAAAAATTTCTACATGAAATATAAGCACGAGGAGAAGTATGTGTCACAAGAAATTTCATAAGAAAATATATTCAAGAAAGCTTTGTATTTACCTTTTTAAAAGAAGGGAGATTGTCGAAAGAAAATAACTTAAATCCAATGGCTCTTTAATAAAATATAATTTGACAACGCTGCACAAACAGATGAAATCACGATGAAAATCATGAAATGAAATATGATCAGTGTGACAGTGACAGTTGGCTATAAGCATTTTACCGCGTTTTTGCATATAGTCGCTAATATCACATTTCACACCATATATGGTAACAGAGTTGAGCAGGCACTCTCTTCAGAAGTGAATTGTATTCTTGAAGTGAATTATGTCATGTAGCGTCTATACCGATGTAATATTTGCCTAGAATTCGTTTCAGATTCTCTTCAATTACTAATAACACATATTGGCCGTGTTCATCGTGATGAGCCAAATTTTCATGTTGTTTGTGGCATCGATGGCTCTGCCAGGACGTTTAAGAAATTTTTCTCATTGAGAAATCACCTTATTCGAAAACATAACATCGTGCGCAATACGAGGGACAGCGCAGAGTTGAATACTGATAGGGGAAACGACGATGCTAATCAAAATCATGAGATTGATAATACAGACCCTGAACAGGAAGAAGAGTTACTTTTAAGTTTTAATGAACTCACAAAGCCAAGGTTCCCCCTATAAAATCCATGCTTAATCCACCTCTGGTTAATATAACATATGTATTGCCGCTATTTTTTTACGAAGTTGTTAAACTGTTTAAATGAACGCATAAGTCAACTGTTCAGTTATCCGTGTCAGAACGAAAACAGCTGCAGTTTGATATAAGTATAAAAATAAGTTAAAAAAACAGTTAAAATGAGTGTTATTTTGACACCCATGATTTTACAAGGAGAGTGGTGCAGAAATACCGCCCTTTATAAATTATTGTAACTCTTGCTAATGGCGTTAATTTAACACCAACCACTTAACACCAAAAAACAGTGTTACTTTAGCACTTTTGTGGCAGAAGAAGGTGCTAGTTCAGCACCATTAATTGGGTGTTAAAGTGTTGAGGTGTAAATTTAACACGCTACAATATGTTTAAGGTCATATGTTGTTAAATCAACAACAATATTGGTGTTATAATAACACCTTTTATTTAACACCACCGATAGGGTGTCAGTTTAGCACTAGAGAAAGTGCTAGTTCAACACCCCAAAAATAACAGTGTAAGCGTATAGAAGACAAACAAAAAAATAAGCAAATTCAAATCTATACAAGCTTATCTTGAATTACCTGTAAAATAAAAGTTGAATTTAAAAAAATGAAGTTTCTGGTGGCACTGATCTCACTGGCACCATATCTATAGCTATGGCCTTGCAGTGGCTTCTGATCATAGTTTAATTATATACATGCTAACTGGATGAAAATTCAAACTTGGTAAAATAAAATCGTTCGTCTTCTTCATCTTTACAATTGCCCAGTCCTCACGTCAAAAGACCTCTTAGAGCTGCTATACACTTATTATAGCGTGAATAGATTAAACCACCCCAAAAGGTTTGGGTCATAGCATTGATGGTGTAAAGAAGTTTGGATGAATCCGAAATAACTTCTGCTTGTCTTTGTTTTCTTCAAGACAACCTGGTTTGTTTAGATTTAATATTGAACCAGATTGTACAAATTTAAATTGAGCTCCCGAGTGAAAACAATTCTCTTTAAACCTCAAATTAGTAAAAAATCCAGGATCATGACCATTATCATAAAAACATTTTCCTGACTGAATATGTTTGATGAAAAATCCATTCGTTTCTAAAAAAGGACATCAATATAAATTTAAAAAACTGGGATTTCATTTAAAATAATTAAGCGTACTGAATTCTATCGATATAAGAAAAAGATTCCATTAAAAAAGCCATCTTGAAATTCAATATTTGAATTATAACAACAGACAAAAAAACGAGTGTTTATTGCTGACTTTATTTGAAAGACTTCATTGGGCTTATTTTATATCTTACGTTTTATGTTTTAATTCAAATATAGAATTTCAAGATGGCCATTTTGTTTGGAATCTATTTATTTTTATATTTTTCAACATTGAGAGCTGAGCCTGGTTTTTCAAAACTGCCAACTCATCTGTGAAGCTTAAACTGTATAAATTCCCATGTCTTTCGTTTTTGATGAAAAGGAAGTTTATCTGAAATAAGTTTTATGAAAAAACCAAACGGTCATTACACTAACCTATTGAAAGCGAGCAACCGCAGTAGAATGTTTGCTTTGAGCTTGTGATTAAACTAAATCTAAATTTGAATTCAGAACTATATTCTCTCGTCAAATGTTGTCAGTAGTCGACGTATAACTCCAATACGCATTTCACTGCACGCTCGTGTAGCAGAGTTTGAATTGATTCTAACAAAAAGAATGACCAACACGACAAGAGTAATGACCAAAACACCAGCCACAATTGCACCAATAGTAGCTCCAAATTTCCACCGCCTATAAGATAAAAATGAATGACGAAGAAGAACATAAAACATTAAGTATACAAGTGGTGAAAAAAAAGTAACCCAACTATAAACAATACATGGTTACCTAAAGATATCAATAGATTACTTAATAATACATTACGCGTAATACATTACGAAATTCGCTTTTCAGGCGCGCAAAAACAAGTATAAACGAAACTCAGATTTGATCTCACGTGCGCAGTTTACAAACTTTCCAGTCGGCGTACATGAGCAATATGAAATCTTCTTAGAATACGGCTGTTTTGGCAGAAGTAAGATTTGGTAGCTTAACTTATAATCAAGCAAAGCATGTATAAAGTATTCAATCGTGTTTCCTAGTCGGATTTGTTAGTGTGGCCATTTATACTCATGAATGTAGGAATTTCAGAAAAAATATGACCTTTGGTGATCCGATTCTTAAAAATGTCAATGATTTCTCAAAGATCAGAGACAATAACAAATATACAAATAAATTATTAAACTTTTAGTAGTTCTATAGCATGGAAAGACATGTAAACAAATAAATGAAAATGATAGTTTGTGTTAAAAGATGCTAAATACCTAAAAGATGCTTTTAACTACTCAAAATCCTGTAATGAAAATTCTATGTAACTTGATTCAATTAACGTTGTTAAGCCTTTTATTAATTGCCCGAACGAAAAATTGTGCTAAGCCTAAACGCCCGAATGGCTAAGCTTTGGGGGGGGGCTCATCCCCCCTGTGCCCTCCCAGGCCTTATGTCTATGAAAATAGTGATCTCGATGAAAAGAATACCTGAGTTGTTCAATTTAAAATTCCAAACACTTTAAAATTTATCGTCAAATACTTTGGTATATATGCGATATATAAGGTATATATTATACAAATTCGTAAGTCTTTTTTTACGGGTTTATATGTCTAGAGGAGAGATGCATAGAAAATTGTACACTTGACTTGTGTAATAAATTCTTGAAGTAATTGAAAAATTTGCACTGACAAATTACGTCATTAACTCAAAACAATTAAAATAACACTAACACATACAAGAAAACAGTTTATGCTGGCATGCAGTCATGAGCAAAATTTTCTTTAAAAATTATACCAATTTTCGTCAAAAC